CTGGTGTGAAACACAGTGATAAGCAAAAAGGCCCTTGAATTCCCCTTGTTCACATGCCATCAGTTCCCACTTGCTCAACATTTTTTTGGCTCACCCGGCAATACAATGCTGATGGGGAGGATTTGCAGCGAACTGCTCACACAGAGGTATGGCAGATAGATGTGTAAACCCATTGAAAATTGATTTGGGGGTGTGATATCTATTTTTCATTTAGATCTACCCAATCCATTTGCCATACATGTGTGCTGTTGACAAAGCCACACAGGCCAGCTGACGGACGAGCGCGAGCTGCATTCCCAATAAAAAAACACCAAACAAATCACCTGTCCGAAACAAATCAACATGAATCAAGTAAAGGGTGAACACATATTTTTGAGTCTGCAGCCTGCTGCAAGTCAATTTCCGGTTTTAAAAACCAGCACGTTGGTAGAAAACTGGCAATGTGATCATCCCCAACAAATGACTGCAATCATGGCTGAGCAACTACATCGAGGTATATAGCATTTGATGGTAAGAAGAACCTGCTATGCCATTGGAGCCCCATCTGTGCAAAGGCTTGGAAATCAATTGAACGATGATAAGAATGCATGCCGGTCTTGGTGTCACCATATCTCCTACAACATAATTGGTGAAGGAGGGATGGCTTCTCAGTGGCCCATTTCATGGGGCTCCTGGCATCGAGGCTTCAACTTGCCTATCTCATATTCTCCAACGTGGGTATCTGCTATCTTGGCTGGCGTGGCTTCAAAACTGTGGTTGCAACTGTTGTGACAACCAGGCTGCCGTAGCTGGACCCAAAAAAGATCAACAATGAATCTGTCCAACCACGTGAAGGATCCAGACACGGATTCGCTTGCAGCCTACCTGCTGCAAAGTATAGGGGTCTGTTGAGGATGAGATGTTTGGTGTGTATATCTTGTACGTTGACCCTTCAAGGAGCTTCACACCCACAACAGGAGTCTTTTAACCAAAGCAATGGTGCAGTATTGGACGAGCACCCTTTTGCAAATCAAGTTGGGCATTCATTTAAAAACCGATTTGATGAAGAAATCACACAGAACTGAAAACTTAAACACAGACTGTTGCAGAATCAAATGAACTTTGAACTTGGTTTTGAGGATGCCCCCCTATCTCATCCATTGCGTATTGCGTGTCCGCTGTCGCCCTGCCATGTGGCCTTCATCACAAGATTTCCCCCATGACCTGCTGATAGCCAATCAAAAGTACATATAAACATACAAAATGATATCACCAGTTTCAGTTGTTTCATTCATCCTTTTTGCCATCCACTTGGCTGGGCAACTTATCCAGCGCTTTCTCAGCCAGCACAGCCAGGCGCAAGCTGAGCTCGCGCTGGTGATCCGCCTGCGCTTTTGCCTCCTCACGCTGGGCATTGTTCGCGCGCTTGATCTGCTCCTTCTGTCCTGCCCTCACGCGTGTTTTGCCTTTCAGGCCCTCTCCTGGCCTCAGTCAGATGTTGAGAGGCATTGTTCAGAAATGATGATGCTTAAACAATTGTGTTCCCCGCATTATTGGGTAAGTTGATATCACAGCTGCTCATGGCGTACAAATTATTCACCAAAAATTGATTCAGCATCAAATTAACCCCAAATAAGGAACATTGGGTGAATTTGTGTCTATTACACCGTCAAGGGACGGATGAAAGACGCCAGAGCTGTCCACGTAGCCCTGCTGGTTGGGCAAATAGTACCCGCCACTGTTGTCAGCACGGAACATGCCATTGCCCTTGTCGCCTCCTTCCCATCCACGGTGCCAGCCCTTTGATCCCCATCCATGGTAACCACCATGGTGCCACTTCTTGCCCTTGCCTTTGCCCTTGCCTTTCTTGCTGTAGCCCTTGTAGGAATTCCACTTGTTGTTCCCCTTGCCCTTGTTCCTGTATTTCCATGTGTGGTTGCCCTTCTCATCGTCGCCATATGGGCGCTTGCTGCCATGCTTCTCTTCTTCCGGCTCTGCCTCCTTGTCTTCGTAATCCTCATCCTTTACTTCATCATCCACCTTCTGTTCTTCCTCCTCCCCTTCCTCACATGTGGGCTGTTGACCATCCTGCATTTCTGCATCATCGTAGTACTCCTCTTCATTCTCTGCTGCGTTCTCTTCAGGGTGGATTTCTTCTACTGGGATCTCTTCGAGGCCCTCCTGATCACCATGTCCACTGGCAGGTTGCCAGCTCACATTGCTCACCTCATCGTCTTCCTTCTTCCTGAAGGACTCGACAAAGGAGCCCAAAGGGGCTGGTGCCATGGCCGTGTGGGTTGCTGCAATGATGTCACTGGTCCGATTCAAAGTAATTCCAGAGGGATGAGTGCATAAATTGAATCTGTGGCGCAAATGCTAATTACAATATCCTGAAGGTTTACCTATGCTGGTTTGACCTGTGACTTATTATCTGGGAATATAGTTATGCCCTCATCAGTATGTGCAAATCAACAATGAAGCCAGCGACACCACAGGGCAACCGCAATTCCGGTGTCTCCAAGAAAGAAACAAAATGATATATGGCCTCATAAAAACCAAACACATTTGCAACCATTCAAAATGAACTATTCTGTTGGAGATGTTGTTGGTGGAGTGCAAATGCAACGCATGTTTGACCATAGGTCATCCGCCATCAAGCGCATACCCATAGGGAGCCCTGGAGCATGAAGGATGGCGAGGGTCGACAGCATGCCCTTGAAGATGGACCAGCGTGTATGCAGTGCATGGAGCAAAGCTATATAGACTGAGCAGTATTTTTCATTACAAACACGTTACAACCTTCGCATGCCCCAGCTCGTGATTACTGCTCCTTAGGCAGTGCCCCAAGTCAGCTCCAATTGGGAGTCCTGACATTCTGTGGACCACAGAGAAGATGACCGAAGAGAGGTTCAGGCCTCATACGTGGCAGCAGCCGGATCACATATTAAATGAAAATGGAATACTGTGGGTAAGGTTAGCGATGGTAGGTGGTTCCATTCGACCTATATAGTCTCTACACCATGTTTGCTTCATGTGTTTTTCTTCTGGAGGGGGCTGCAGTCCAAATTGCACAAAAAGAATGCCCTTATGGTGAGAGAGACGGACCCGATGGCAGTGCGAGACAATGTCCCTGCACTGCATGATATGCGAGCCTAAGAGCTCTGCATCTCTGAGCCCTGCCAGGGTAGCAACGTCCAAAATAATTCCCAGTTTGCGATGGAAACCTTGAAATAAAAACATGTTCAGATCGTGAAACTGTCAACATAGAATTGCAGTAAAACAAACCTATATACAAATAGTCTATGCAGTCATCCAGCTTGAGAGTCGAACATCGATCACCACTGTGACGCCAATGCCTTTTAAAAAAGAATATGTTATTGTTTGGTTCCAATGCTATGCAGCCTTCAAGTGTTGATGGATGATTGCAATGAGCAAACATCAACATATGGAAGACCAGGGTCTCTGTAGATCCACGCAGAAGGTTCCAAGAAGGTTGACACCTCGGGCACGGAAGCGGCCACAAACTGAAAACAAAATCATCTTGAGACATTAGCCATCCATTGACTTGGGACTGCAGAGTGAACGTTTTGTGCGTTCCTATACTCGCAGTTTTGCCAGCAGAGCAACAGCATCGCTGGCTATGTCAAAAAAGACGTTTCTTGTTTAGATGGCATGCCAGGGTACAACAATGCAAACACTGTTTAGAGCAAGTATGCAATATAACCATACCATTTGAATTTCAAGTCTTTCTGATGCCTCACACAACGAAGATGTTGTATGGAACTATTGAAAGTCAACTATAAAATGCATGCCCCTAAGCTGCTCCATCTAGCTAGGAGCCCAGACATTTGATAGATGTTGACCATGATGATCGAAGGCGGTTCTGGCCTTGCATCCGGCAACGGTGCGGTGAGCTACAGAAGATGGGTTTGCCTGCATGGGGTCTTTGGCTATCAACTAAACCAAGTTCACGGGGTTCCCAAAAGCATGGCACTATGTACAGGATTCCATTGTCAATACCAGTTGGGAACCAGGATCATCATAAGGGTGCAACTACCAAACGTACAGTATCTGAGGGTCCAAGCCAAGACATACTTGTCCAAGTCGGCCATTCAAGATTGGCCTGGCTGCGCGAAGTTTCTAGCAAGTTTCTCGCACGGCATTCTGATAACAGATCGGTAGGAAGTGCTGTTGATGACATCGCCAAATCCACAAACTTTCATCACCAGCTGCAACCCCTTTTAAAATAAAACCTGTACAGTATAACGTTGCTCCAGGGTTTGAAGTCAATACGATCTAACATTAATTGTTTGTGGAAACTGCACTGAACACATTGCAATAGAAGGGTGAACCCATATACAGACTGCCCTGAGTCACGTCCGATTGGGAGCCCTGACGTTCCATTGGAAGAAGGTTTGGCCTCATGTGCAACAGACTGCTGTGAACCAAACAGGAATACTGTATCCATCATATTCACGGATTGATCAGTTTCCCAAATTTCAGAACATGTAAGTGGAAACACCGTGCCATGAAAGTGGATGCACCATCAAATCTAACAAGTTAACTAACAGTGGTCGTTTGACATCACGTGGGTGAAGCCGCCAAATCAGCAGCGACTGAGCGTCCAAAGCCATCCACTGAAGAATTACCTGGCCGTAGGTGAAACCACATTTACGTATATATATATATATATATACGTATGCTGCAGCTAGCGAGGACCCTCTGCTAGCACAAGGTTGCGAGACAATGGCGTCTCTGCACCTACAGAATGCAGCAATCAAAAATCCCACCCATAGAATCTTGGGTGTTTTTCATGGATGGTGAATCGGCTAACACCAAAATCCAATCAACATTGTTTGCACAATCTCGGCATGTATTGACAAGCCACTCTCCAAGTACAACAGGATCTCGCAGTCTTGTTTTGACTGCGCATGCCGGTCAAACTCGGGCAGCTATACTTGTTTCAAAAAAATCTAAACACCACCCCTCATAGCAGGGAAACGGCACATCAGCCCTGCTGATCAGCAATCTTCTTCCTCGCTTTCAGATTCCTTGTTCGCATCATCACCTTCCTCCTCACCCACTGTCTGAGGTGGCTCATGAGTCTTCTTGGCCTTTTTCTTGGGGGACCGTTTTGGCTGGAATCGTCTCCTACTCTTCTTCTTGGGAGATTTCACAACATGTTCACTGGCCTCACCGGCAGCTTCAGATGCAGGGGCAGAGTCATCATGAGGCTGAGCATCTGCAGCCTCACCGCCATCTGCCGGCATCTTCATGGCAACGGACAAGTAGTGCAACACATCGGTGTTGAGCTCCAGCCACAGGTCAGCCGCTTTGGTGCCCCATAGGCATTTTGCCTGGAAAATGAAAATACAGAATACGCATGTAACATGAGTTCTCTGGACATGGTTTTAAAAAGATGTTGTCCCAGTTGTTGTTGGATGAATCAACTATATACTGAAAGCTGTCCTTGGATCCATAAACCAATAATTAAGTTGTTTTTGAAACCTCTCCATTTGATTCGTTCGAAAAGGCCCTTGGCCTCCAAAGGACTGATGCATGTGGCATCCTTTTGAAGAACTGGCAGGCTGATCGTGACGTACTGTGCCACGATCAGGCGGTGATCATCCTTCGCCATCATGGAGTTCTTGGTAGGTTTCCATTCCTCCCCCAGTGCCTCCGCGGCTCTTTTCATGGTCTCTTGATATCGACGATTGCATTCGGCGTTTCTCAGATGGACAATGCGATCATACTCTTTTCCATCGAGTAAGTGAGGGCTCTTGTTCGCCCGTAATTCTAGGCCTTTGCCTGTGAGGGCGAAAACCACGCCTCTTTCAAACTTCCCGAAATGAAAGAAGATGAAACCATCAACATCTTTGGTCTCAGGAAACCAATTTTTCCTGCTATGCGGAGTCTGCACAGCAGTGACGCGCTTGATCACCCACTCCCTAGGGCTCTCGGTCTCCATGGCAAAATCTCCTATAGTTTGATGAACCTTTTACCCTTCCGAGTCCTTGGGCCACGCATTGCTTCCCGCATGCCAAGGCCATGTCCACCACAAACCAACTCATGAATAATTGTTCCGTCCTGCCCCCCCTTGGAATCAAACAAGAAAGTAACAGCACAACAATATGTTATCTTTCCAACTTGTGCTCAGCAGCTACGTTTTCTTGGCCATCGCAGCTCTTGGTGTTTTGATATCCTGTTTCACAGACATTCGACTGCTCGGTCCGTTCATCCAAAATTGCGATGATATCAATCCATTGAATTGCAGTTGCATGATTGTTTTGATAAGAGGTTTGCTCATGAAACTTTCATGGAACAGCCACCACTCCTATATAGCGGACCCAGTCATGATGCAAAATCTACCATGTGTCTATGCACCTGGCGCCTTCCCAGTCTTGCGGCGCTTGACATCTTGCAATTGCTCAACTGGGGCATCTGGGTTCTGAGGCGCATCTTTGTACAAAATAAGGGCTTCGCCAGCCTGAATTTTTTTATGATTCACCAAACGTGGAAACTTGAAATCTTTGTCCAATGTCAATTTTTGACCACTGCAGTCTGAACTTAGTTCCATATTGGACTCATCATATTCGTTCGTCACTTGCACGTACCAACAGGGGGCAACGTAGTTGGAACTGCTGCAGGGATTCAGAAAGATCCAGTGCTTGGTAGCATCCTGCAATCATTTCAACATGTTCCGTTTTTTACACATGGTAACTAGATATCCAAAATATACCGTGTTTGCCCGTGCTTCCCGATGGTGCATGGGAAAAGAAACATCAAAGAAACCTTGTCCTTGTCGGCAAAGTGGCCCAGACAAACAGAGCCTCCTGCACCTTTGTCCTCAGTCTTGATGTCCACCTTGTAGGTTTGAAGTTCCAGACGCAAAGCCCCCTTGGAAAAGCTTTTGAGTGCCTTCACCTGCTTGGGTTTCGTGAAGATCTCAAGCTCTGTGGGGCATGGGGTGGCTTTGACGTACATGGTGTACACCACCTTCGATCTCATGGCAGCCACCAGGTGCTCCCTCGAATGCTGCGGAGAATGAGGGAGCCAGTCAATCTTCTCAGCCTCCGCCTTCTCACGACTGGGCTTCCAATCTCCCTTCAAAAACGATTCGCTACTGCAAGTCTTCAACTCTGCACCCACCTTCAAGGTGATCGATCCCGCTGCCATCTTCTCAATCGTGGCGATGGTATCATCACTCTTCCGATGCACGATCATTCCCTCGGTGAAACCCTTGTCCTTCAGCATGGCAGCATTGCTGATTCTGCCCATCGAATCTAATGCTCTCAGCCTCAAGGCATGACCCAAACGAAAAAACATATTTTGAACCGCTTGGCCAATGGATTGCCTGCCCTGATCAAATAAAATGCACAACACGTAAAAAGTCTATATGCAAAATTTTGCCAAAGGGCTCAATTGTTTTCTCTCCATGAGCCCTTTTCGGGGTTTTCTGTTTTCCTGATGATGCTGCAGATTCCGGTTTCGATGGCACTACCCATGGAGAACCTATCCCTGGGTTGCCCATCTGCTCATTGAGGCTCTGAATGAAGTCCACACCGGCAGCTTCGACAGAGTCAAAAAAAGGAAGATCCTTGTGCTTCTTTTCGATGACTGCCAAGATGCAGTTCCTGGAGAAAGCTCCAAGAGCAGCAAGTTTGATGTGCCCCTCCACTTTGTAGTAGGCGCAGACCTTCTCGGCTGTGGCCAGCGCGCCTTCAACCATGACCATCTTGGCCTTCATGTTCGCTGACATTGCTTTCCGGACGTCTGTGCAAAAGAGAGTCTTATCCGGAACGGTGTACAATGCTTTCAGAACACCTTAGTTGACTTGAACCCTGGCATCTAACGAAATACGTGCTTGATATAGCCACCTGTTACCTTGTGACAATTTTGCCAGCTAATCAGCCTGGATACAGTGTCGATAGATGGCATGTTGTTCTGTTCCTTTGATGTCCTGTGCCAGCAATTCGTACACTTCGGCGCCGACAGTCCTCTGGGCATATCCATGTGCCTTGATGTAGTTCAAGGTGTCTTCCAGGAAAGCACCCTTGACTCCACCGCTGGACTTCACAATGAAATTGAAGAGGAATGGCCCAGACTGACCCAATGTGGGTTTCGTCCTGAGCACCATGCTGGCGATGTCGCCCCAGCACAGGGAAACCTTGCCACCTTCCTGCTTTGCCACTGTGCAATGCCATATCTTTCTCAGGAGTTGCAGCTCACTCTCTGTCCTGGACAGGTGCGAAGCCGTGTTGTTGGCAGCCTGGATCATCCCAGGAAGTTCTGGCCACTTGCTTTCAACCTGGCTAGACACCACAAGCCAACTTGTACCTTCCATGCACGCCTTGTAGTACTCTGCGTCAATCTCCTGCAATCTGGCTAAGCTCAACGGCTGGCCCTGGTGCTTGATTGACTGGAGCCAGCAGTTCAATCCAGCGTTTAAATGTGACCCGGCCACCGATGCATATCGAATGCTCGCAGCATCCAAGGGGGCGAGATTGCCTCCGCTTTCTGCAACCATCTTTTCATTGAATTTGCGTGTAGCTTCGTTTGAGTGCTGCACTTCGAAGCACACGCCCCTGACCTCATCACGGGCGAACCCGACGCTCAACACGTCATCTATGAGCGCATGTACTTCGCTGCTGTTGAGGCCAAGGCCATCTCGGTTCATCTGATGAACCCCCACATGCGGCGGCAAGATTGTTTGCCGCCAGGCGAGGGAATGAGCCTGCAAAATCTTCAGGACTGCGTCCACTGTTGACACCAGTTTGGTGCCATCCCTGGCTTCCGCCAGCTTCTGCTGGACTTTGTCAGCGACCTCCTGTGGAATCGCCATGTTGTTTTTGTTCACTCGATCTGATCCCAAACGAGCTACGGTGAGCTGCGAGTGAACTCTGCAGCTGGGCAGGCGAGACGATGCTCTGCCTGCTTCTGCACTGCAAGGAAGCAATCAAACATTGGCTAGGAACTCAACAATCCCTGATTGACAACACAACATTTCCATGAATATTTGGTGCAATCTTCCAAGTTCCAAAACGGTTCAATGACCACGATCAAATCTAATTTCTTATATAGAACACCCTTCCTCGGAAGACGCCTGCACAGGTGAACCAATGCCCACCATCCACGGTCTGAGCGGACCGAAGTCGAAGACATGATGATTCAAATGACATTTCTCAAAGCTGAACAAGTAAAAATCGATGTAAGGTTTCACTGAACAATTGTTGTTTCATTCTCTGTTCTTTTTTTTTAAAATCTACTTTGGTAAAACATGTTGCATTCTGAAATTGCATGGGGTGAAAAACAATTGAGCCAAGGAAACATGTTCGTTCCATGCCCTTTCTGTTTTCATTCGCCTAGCAACCGCAAGAAAATAACATGCTAGTTTGGCAAAATTATACAAAACACATTCCCCGACAAAAGCAAAAAAAACATGTTTCACCCCAAACAACATCGCCCACAATCAACCTGTTGTTTTTTTTCAAACCATCTGCGTGGAAAAAAATGATCAATCATCGTGAAGAAAAAGAAAAGCAGGCTGCCACCACCCAAAAAAAACAATCTCCCAGGGTGTTTTTTTTCAATTTTCTAGGGCCCCTAAATCAGACTTGGCGGACTTACCAAAAAATACTAAGTTGCACTTAGGGGAGTTATCTAAATGCCATAACCCATTTATTCAACTTACCATAACCCGCCTAAATGAAATATAGCACTTAGGCTAACTCTTCTATTTCTGCCCTTAATATTTACTAACTCTGCTATCGCTTTAGACTATTTAGTATCTCAATAGTAACTCATTAGAAAAAATATAACTCAACATAACTTATTTAGCTCATTTATACCAGATATAAGTCAGCTAACTGTACACATAGCGGAGTTATAACCATACTTACGCGACTTACATATCCCGCGTACATCAGCTAAAAAGTTACTAACCAGCATGAACTTCCAAGTATGCTTAAACTGGAGATGCATCCGGGAATTCTACAACTGGAGGACTTCAATTTTGAAGGTGGGTTCTTGATTTTTTTGGCAGTGATGGGCATAGAAATGCAGCTGGAGCAGGGGATAGATGAATAGAAAGGAGAGTTGATCGAAGGAAGCTTCGAAGTCAAACTTCCGACAATATGGACAGATGAAAAGCAGAGATGGGAAGAGTCAGAGAAGAGAAGAGAAGAAGAAAGAAGACAAAAAAAGAGAAAGTCTCAGAAGAAAGAAGATCCAGGTGTGCGAAAAGGCAGGAAAGTCGCGAAACATTGTGTTTTTCCAATGATTCGTGGCTCCGGAGGGTCGAAAAGTAGGCTCGCTAGAGCAGCGGGTGCGGAGCCATCTGGCCAGATGAGAGATGAAAAATTGCACGCCGTTGTGGCGCGAAGCACATTTCCAAGCCAAAATGTACAGCGCACACACCACGTTCGGAGCACTTTTTGAAGTTGAGATGTCGAAAAAGTGCACGCCGTTGTGGTGCGAAGCACATTTGCAAGTGAAAAAGCTCAAAGCACCTCACGTTCGGAGCACTTTCGGAAGTTGAGATGTCGAAAAAGTGCACGCCGTTGCGGCGCCAAGCACATGTGCAAGTGAAAAAGCTAAACAGGCTTCACGTTCGGAGCACTTTTGGAAGTTGAGATGTCGAAAAAGTGCGCGCCGTTGTGGTGCATGTACAAAACACACCACGTTCAGACCGCTTTTGGAAGTTGAGATGTCGGAAAAGTGCACGCCGTTGTGGCGCGAAGCACTTTTCGAAGTCGAAAGTGTAAAAAACTGACGGGTTCGGAGCACTTTCGGACGTTCAGATGTCGTGTCGCGTGGCCCGCGCAAGGGATTATGCATCGTGTCAAAAGTGAGCAAAACGTGAGGGTTTTGTAGCATTTCCTAAAAAGATGGCAGGCGTGGGGCATTTGAAGAGGATCTGCAAAGATGCATTTCCCTGGGAGGCGCAGTACAAGAGACATGTTCATCAGAGATGTTAGGAGGTCTGGGCGCTGGTTTCCTGAGAAAGGTTGCATTTTGGAGCATCAGATCTTCAGGTTTGCTGAGATGATTTTGCGTAACAGGTACAGCACTTCGCATGATCTGGCATCAATTTTTCGTGGCAGGCGCAGCACTTTAGACAGATGGAGTGGAAAAATCGCAAAACGCATTGGTACGAGGCCGTCAGCTCTGCGCTCAACTTTCCATTTTTGAAGGAAGTCTCGCAGAATTGCTTCGTTTTTGATGTTGTGAACTTGAAAAATTGAGGAAGTCTCGCAGAATAGCTACGTTTTTGACATTGTCAAGTTCAAAAGTTGAGGAACTCTCGCAGAATAGCCTCGTTTTCAAGCTTGCAGATATATCCAGGCAGGCAGGCAGGCAGACAGACGGACAGAAAGAAAGAAAGAAAGAAAGAAAGAAAGCTAGATAGATAGATAGATAGATAGACAGCTACAACTACAACTACCACTACACTACGACTACAACTACAACTACACTATATCTACAAGTACATTTACATTACACTACACTACGCTAATTACAGTAAAATACATTACAACTACAACTACAACGACAACGACAACGACATAGTAGTAGTGGTAGTAGTGGTAGTAGTAGTAGTAGTAGTAGTACTAGTAGTAGTAGTAGTAGTAGTAGTAGTAGTAGTAGTAGTAGTAATAGTAGTAGTAGTAGTTGTAGTAGTTATAGTTGTAGTAGTAGTAGTTGTAGTAGTAGCAGGAGTAGTGGTAGTGGTAGTAGTAGTATTAGTAGTGGTGGTGGTGGTAGTAGTAGTAGTAGCAGTAGTAGTAGTAGTAGGAGTGGTACCGCACCAGAGGTAGCACCAAAGCTTCGAAGGTGAGCCAAATACCATAGTCTTGAAGCACATCCTTGCACCTGCTGCTGGTACTGCCAAATGTTGCTTTCTGAAGTTTCAAGAAACAAATTCCAAATGCAGCAGCCAAGCTTCCAAAAGTGAGGCTTTGCGAGAGCCAAACACCAAGGCCCCTGGTGTTTGCTTTTCCTCTGCTGCGCCCGCTGCTGATGGCTGGGGTCCGGATAGGGGTATTTTCGCGAAAGTTCTGCGAAAGAGTGTGAAAAGTCAAACTGCATTTTGAAGGGAGTGGCCCAGTAAGCCTTGCAAAAAATTGCCGAATCATCCTGGGAAGGGGATTCCGTGATGCCAGCTGCATGTTTACAAGGCTATGAAGGAGTTATCCGCATTGCGCATGTATGTTCCCGAAGACTGGCTGTTCCCGGAAAAAGGAATTTTTATCGACCGTCATGCATGTATGTATGTATGCAATGTAATGTAATGTAACGTAATGTAATGTAACGTAATGTAACGTAATGTAACGTAATGTAATGTAACGTAATGTAGGGTAATGTAATGTAATGTAATGTAATGTAAGTATGTATGGATGCATGTATGTATGTATGTATGTATGTATGAATTTCCTTTAAAATTTCGTATGGTATGGCATGGCAAGGTATGTTATGTTTTGTTTTGAATGTAATGTAATGTTATGCTACTTTGTGTTATTATATGTTTTTTTTATGTTATGATATGTATGTCATGTATGTTTTCGAACGTAACGTAACGTAATGTAATGTAACGTAATGTAACGTAATGTAATGTAACGTAATGTAATGTAACGTAATGTAATGTAACGTAATGTAGTGTAACGTAGTGTAACGTATGCATGCATGGAAACAGGTTTGTATTTCAAACATGTAAAGTATATAAAATATGTAAAGTATGTAACGTAATGTATGTAAAGTATGTAAAATATTGTAAAGTATGTACAGTACTGTCGTGTCGTGTCGGGTCGGGTCGTGTCAAGTCATGTCATGTCATGTATGTATAAATCATACAATTGTATACATATTTACTGTAGATTGTTTGATCGTCAGAGGTCCCGCACTGTTTGCATTTACAAGCCTGACTGTTGCCTGGGACTCGGATTTTTTTTACACGCGTTGCACTGCGGGTCAGTGGTGCCTGGTAATCCTGCAGCATTTTCTTCTCATACACTTGACAAACTGGACAACTAACTTGTGGGTTTTTGTTTGACTTTGAGGGATGTTTTAAGTATTTTGGATGAGTTTTCAAGTGGTTTCAATTTTGTGTATTCATCTAGAAATCAAGTGGGCAGCGGTATGGCCAAGGCTGCGGCAGCGCAAAGGAGGCCTTTCGGTGGAAGGAGGCCATCAGTCCTTGAGATTCATCACTGCGCCATGTTTCGCACGGTGAAATTCCGATCTATGCCGCGTCTATGCTTGATTTTTTGCACTGAGTCCATTCCGATCATTCTATTCTGGCCTTCAGGATGCTGTTCTCAATGTTTTCAAATCAAAACAGTCAATGCACAAGTTCCAGGCACACCTGGACAGAAGTCGATCGCACGCAGGTTTAAGCAATTTGAAGCGGATGTTCCTGAAAAAACCGAAGAATTTTCCCTGTCTACATTTGTGTTCAATCACGGTCCTGTTCTGAGATCATCCCGCCACACATATCTTAGTATGAATCGGACATTATGTATAGAATTCTACATGTATGTACATACAACATTCTACATGTATGTACATACAACATTTATTCATTTGCAAACATAAAACCATAAGATACACCGGATATCATAAGATCACAATGTATTATCTGCAATGTATAAATCAGCCCAGACCACAACAGCAGTGAAGGCGTGGTGTGATGTACGGGAATCAGCCAAACTTGACAGCTTGGTACCTTCCCTTAGGTATCAATGTTGGCCTGGGGTTGCCCAATTTTCAAAGGGCAGGACTCAGTCCTTCGCTGGGTTTATCTGTTTTCTTTTTTTTCTTGCACATGTTCCAGATGGAGAGAAAGTTAGAGCCAGCACATGGTCATATAAGTTTTATAGATGGCCCACTGTTTTGCCGTTTTTCTTTTTCCATAAACAAAAAGCACTCTGTATTTTGTGCTTTTGCACTTAGACACAGTTGGTTGTTTGAGTTGAGAAAGGCGCCAAAACCCTGCAAGCAAGGGTTATATCGACATGGCAAAAAAAAAGTGTATTCTTAAGCAGCTATCAAAAACATTGTAAGTTATAATAGTTTTTTGCCTTCAAAAGACTGTTTTAGAGCTATTTGCTCCTTCTCTAAGCAGTTTCTGAAACGAAAGCGCAAAACAGGCTCTAAATTGCAGCATATTGCGCTCTTCCAAGTGCAACAGTTGTAGTATTGAGTATTTGGAGTGTTTTATGGCTTTGACTGTTGTCAATAGCAGTGTTTCTTTATCGAGCATTATTGATGTTTTTTTTGAACCTTCCGGGTAAAACTGCTTTTGACTCTTCATCCCGAGGACCTGTTTGAGCGGCACCTTCACACACGATTATGATACTTATGGTCTCTACGACTACATCTATCTTTCTACCTATGGATCCATCCATCCATACATGCACCCATCCATCCATCCATCCATTCGCCCATTCATCCATCTATCCATCTATCCATTGATCTGTCCATTGATCCATCTATCGAATCTAATCCAATGCAATCCAATCCAATCTGATCCAACCCAACCGAATTTATTCCAATCTAATCCTACCCAATCCTATCTATTCATCTATCTAGATGCATCGTATTTGGCACGTTTGGCGCTCGAGTCAACTCAACATCGGAGGCTTCGGGGGCGACGAAGAGCGCCATTCTGTCGTGCATCAAGCAGTGAGGACAGACGAAACCGAGCTGTTTGACGAAACAATGGAAACTACCAGAAACATTTCGGAAATGACAGCAAGATAGCGTAACATGCACGGTATGAAGACTTTTCTTTGACCTTTGAAGGTTTTACCTTGCCACAAGACATAAGATATTTTGTCCGTTTCGCAAGCGCAGGAGCAACTTGATTTTGGCCTTCAGTCCGAGCTGATTGTGAAGGTGGCTTGTGTGTTCACACAAGGAACGACAAGAAACAACTTGTTCTGCAAACGCGTACAACTGAACAGAAAAAGTGGTTTACCGTGGATTGGGTCGCGCTGTCCGCATTCAGCAACAGGCCTCAACTAGGTGAATGCAAGGGAAACAAGTTTTGACAGACTTCCATGCTTTCCAAGCCTCCTGAGTGTGTAGGATGGAGGAGACAAACGACACAAGATGACCCAAACACAAATCGTGCAGTGCATCGTTCCGTCAACACTTGCTGGGTAGGTTCCTCCGTACGACAGGCGGAAGATTGGAGCAAGCACCTCAATAATCACTCGGGACACTGACAAAATGACAGCTGCAGCTGTCAGGCTTTGCTGATTTTGCTGTCGGGATGCTCCCATTCCACACTGCACAGGTGTTTTTTCTTTGCAGTTCTTTGTGCTTGCTATGGGCTGCTCATCTTGCCTGCAGGAAACTAGGCCCCCTGACTCCATCACAGGTGTTATAGCCTGAAAGACTTGTGGCTCCGTCGGTAAGAACAACGGCCCACATCAACAGCATCACAAATTGCCTGACAGCGGAACAAAAAGGAGAAACTGTACACATGTAGCCCTCAGTTCACAGACTGGATCGTAAAGACATTTGAAATAGTAATCCAATCCATCCACGACAGACATGCAGAATGAGTGCAGATGAGCGCAGAGAAATCATAGCCAGTGCAATGCTTCCGCCAGAGCCTCAAAGGAGCCGTGCATCGGAGCTGAAGGCGGAGCTCCGAATTCCAAAAGCCAAGGATCAACGAACAGATCAAACCGAATCGAAAGATGCGCAGCTGGCACTGGAAGCGCTTTTGAGCGCTCGAAAGCTGAGAAAGCAAAGTGAAGCAGATCGACAACGGCTTCTCCGCCAACGTCAAAGATGGGATAAAGTCTGTGAAAATGCTTTGAACGGCGTGAACGGCGCGAAGTCAACTGACCAAACCGAAAGCGAGCCCCGAGCCGAAATTCCTCTTGGAGTGACCGGAGCCACAACGTTTTGGCAGCGCCATGCTTTCGGGCGGCTGTCTCGAAGGACCACGCCTTGCACTGTCAACATCAACACTGTCAGTGCCATGCTTTCCTATCCAGAGCATCCAGCTGCTCAGGGAACTCAGAGAACGCAGGGAACTCGACCTGGAGAGAAATCTTGCAGAGAGATGTTTCGAAGGGCGCCTGCCCATACGACTGATGCGGTGAAAGCTGTACTGGCTGAGAAGACACCGAAGGCAGCACAGTTGCTGAATGAACAAGCAGAGATGCTGCAGGACTTTGTCGAGATGGAGGGTTCTTTTGATTGGTCTAGTCCATATGCGTTGGCATACAACAGTGCCTCTGCAGAAGTTTCACGGCAAGAAAAATGGGAGCAGCAAAGACGTCTACCCCAACGACTGGCACGGGAGAGGACCGAGAGGACTGAAATCACTTATGGCTATGACGAAGAAGATGTGAAGTTAATGAAAGCATCACAACGACTCAATCATGAAGCTGGAGGAGGGTTTGTCATTGCACGGCGCATCCTTGCTTTGAAGGAGCAAGGTGCGACTTGGCAGGAGTTTCTTCTATTAGCTCCCAGAGCACAAACAACTTCCTTTGAGATTCCTAAGGAATTGGCTTTGCAGCTGGCGGTAGCATTTGCAGAAATCTCTCAAGTTGCATCCTCCGATAGCTCAGCTGAGAAAGACAGATCTGAAGGATCTGAAAGCTCAAGAGCTACGAGGGACACTGAACTTTTACGGATTACGGCGATGTCAATGATGTCATCTGCAGCTGCAAGAGCTCGAGATGCCGACAGCTGTGAATTTCCTTTGGAAGGTCTGGAGGCGATTGCGCGGAGCGGCTTCGGATGGAGAGCTTTCTCCAATATGTTTTTGGCAGCGCTGCATGCACAGCTTCAGCGCGAAGCTTCAGATCAGGGCTCTCGCATTGCATTGGCAAAGGACTTGGCTCTCCGAGTTGCTGCTGTGTTCACTTGGGCATCTAACACATCTACATCTAATACATCTAATACATCTAACACAGATGGAGCCGATCTTCATGCTCATTTGTCTCCCGCTGGCAGAAGGGTAGTGCAAGCTGCGCATGATGCACTGCTTGACCAGGAGCTGTGTCCCATTGCAGTTCTTGAATTGCTCGAAATGCTTGCAGTCCGAGACACTGCCAAGATAGCCAGATGAAACCTGCAGGTGACATGCACTTGCCTCATCTCTTGCCTAAGGCAAGATAAGCGCTTTGAAGAAAAGGCGTTCACCTGGGCTCAAAGCGAACAGTGACAACATGTGACAGCTATAGACTATAGACATATTCTATCTCCAGGGGAAAACAAGACTTGGGGAGACTTCAGGACCCTGGCAAGAAATTCTTGCACCCGAAGCGTTATTATACCAGTAGTACCGCACAAGGCGGTGGCGGAAGTTTCAGAATAGGAAACCTATAGGAGACGTTGGTTGATGTGAATCACGGATGGCAGAGCGAATCCACTGATTGACCGAAAGGTGGTTGGAGTTGTGTTTGCTGGAATGGTTGCGATGGTTGCAGTGGCCACCTCACCCACAACTGCTGGATGTAGTGTGATGTACTGCAACTGTAGTTGTAGCTGTAGCGTAGTGGAGTTGTAGTTGTGGTGTAATGTAATTAGTGTAGTGTAGTTGCAGTCATATAGTTGTAGCTGTAGTTGTTTTGCAGTTGTAGTTGTAGTTGTAGTTGTTGTAGTTGTAATT